TCGTAAAGAAAAGTTACAAGCACGTATTCTAACATTATTCCAGTACAGCACTTAAAATCAACGCTGTAATCGCTGGACTGGAATAGTATAAACCGAACATTAAAATCTAAATCAATAAATATCTTTGAATAAAAGTTACAATGTAACATAGATGTCGTTTTATTGTCCGCCATCTTGTCATTGGTACAGCATGGTACTGACTAATAAAAGGCGGGAATCGTAAAACTGTTGTAGATTTTATCATTGAATTATTGGTAAAATAACATTAGGCATACATAAAAAGAAACAAGATTATTTAGTATCGGAATGAAATAACACAATAATTTATACTATTTTGGTCCATTTAATCGTGTAATGCGTAAGAAACACACATTTTTAAAAATCTCACGTGAGATTAGGGGAAGGGGAATTATTGAATAAAATCACATCCTACAAAAAATAAAAAAAAACACCTCACGTAATTTATGGACGCCCAGTAATCTTGAGTAAGGATTAAATTAAATCTAAGTGTAGTAGGTATTTTTTTATATATCATAAGGTGGCAAACGAGCGAGCGGCCACCTGAAATCGCTGAAATAGCGAAGTGACCGTTGCCCATAGACATAAGCAATTGCATATACGTTGCCTAACTTTAATCGACGGAGGAGAGGATGCACAGAAAGATAATATCTCCCATTTCCATGCATCCTCTCATCCGGAAAATCCACTTCCACTTCCCATCCTTTCCTTATAAGAAAAAGTGTGGGAAGGGAAAGAGGATTAATTTTGGCCTCCGGGACGCACACTCATCAGACTGTAGTTGGAATTGCTTCCCCTTGACGCCTGTCTTCTATGTGGTCGTGGTATTTCACCGTGCGAGCCGTTACAATTCGTGCGAAGATGTTAAAGCGGGCTCTACCACTGTTAAAATAATTGAATATTGTTAATTATAGTTAAACGTGTATTTAGTTTTGTTATTCAAAGGTATCCATTGGTTACGTCGTAAAATAAGGTTACACTTTAAGATCATTAATCAAAATGTCAGTTAACGTTAAAAATGTAACGTTAGAATGATTGATTAAATTCAAATGGCATTTCTAAATGTTACATATACTTAAAGTCAAAAGTGTAAATTTTGTTAGCCATTTTATATATTCTGTAATTCCTTAACCTTTTGAAGACAGGCGTGAAGTGGAAGCAATTCCGCGTTTCGTGTGATGAGTGTGCGTCCCGGAGGCCTAATTTAGTCCTCTTTCCCTTCCCACCCTTTTTCTTATAAGGAAAGGATGGGAAGTGGAAGTGGACTTTCCGGATGAGAGGATGCATGGAAGGGGAAAATATTTTCTTTCTGTGCATCCTCTCCTCCGTCGATTAAAGGTAGGCAACGCATATGCAATTGTGTATGTCTATGGGCAACGGTCACTTTGCAATTTTGATCGATTTCAGGTGACCGCTCGCTTGTTTACCACCTTATGATATAAAAAAAACCTAAAACGTTATTTAGTCTATGCTATAAGTCAATAACACTTTTGTTTATTTAATATAACAACATTAATCATTTGTATTACGATCCCTAAAGATTATTTAAATATTTGATTCTGAAATATGAAATAGAAGTATTCAAGTTATCGTGTTATTTATCTGTATGTATTTTGTTATCGTAAATTAAAAGTATTGTATGACGGCCATCTAAACATTCGCATTTATAATATTAGTAACATCTGCATTTTGAATGTAATAATTTTATCATTTTGACAGCTGTCATTTTTAAATCATAAGGGATGTGAAACAATTTAGCCGTACCAGAAGTACGAGAAATCGGTTTTCTCGTAAAAAATATCTACCCTCATGTAATTACTAATACGATTCGTAATAATTTTTTTAATATATTTTATAACATTATAATGGTAAATTTGAAATCTGTCTAGCATGGGTGTCGCCAGCCGGTGATCTACGCATGATCCAGGTAAGGAGGGAGTTCCAGTAGTTAATTCTTTTTTATTACAAAGAAAATTCATGTCAACGTATTTATAATTTTTTAATGAGAAACTAACAAATAGTTTTTGAGTTTGACCTAAAGAGATTGTAGGCATCTTAGTACTTCGTGGCGTCTAGAAAGCGTAACTCCTCCTATCCAATTTGACGACGTCCATGCTTTCTTATTAGTAGTATTAAGTAAAAAAATTCTATACATTTAATATAAGTGCATATTTTGCAATTAATTATAATGAATGTGCGTAAGCATATGAATTTCTACTGCCTAAACACTTGCATAGTGTCATCTCTTTCATTCTCTTTAGAAAAACAGAGAAAACAATAAACCCGACTGACTCAGGAGTTTGATATTTTCTTGTAACCTCTTGTAACCTAAACGAGGTAATCGATTTTGATGAGTTGGTAGTCAATCTATTCGTATTCTTCTCCTGAATGTCAAGGTATCATTAGCCGGGAACAATAACGTAAAGTATTGGTTTAGTCAGCTGGGTTATTGAGACAAGTGTTTGGCAGTTTTGGATATTACCTGGCGGAGCAGTAGGGGCTACTTCCTTTGGTGGCTGGGTGTTACTCTTTCCGAAGGTCGTGAGTGCTTCTGATGACTCTCCAGTCAGCCAACCGACCAGCAATAGTGGCAGAATGGCAGCCGCTGCTTGTTTTCTGCACCACATCTCGATCTTCCATAATATACGCATTGTGTGTGACTAGTTTTATTATTTATGGTCAAATGTATTTTTTTTTTCGTCTATGACTCACTCGAATGTGATTGGCTTAATTTACGAGTGGTTAAAGAAATGTCAGTTTGACATTTAAATATGGTTCTTTTTTTCTGTGATTTAATAAAATTGGATAAAGTAAATTTGAATTATTTTATTTCATAAGAAGGTTACTAAATTCAAAAGCTAATAAGATTCAAAGATGAAGAAATACATTGGAGAATTTGTAGTTTTCGTCGATCCAAATTCAAAATGTAAAGGAATTGTAGATATTTTTTTAATATATATTTTTATATCTGGATCAAGATGTGGTGTTGAATATTCGTTTTATTTAGATTTTTTGCGATGTTTAGTGTATAATTATTGATAAATGATAGTTTTGAGGTACAGTTGGAGTTTTATGTTTCGATTTTTTACGTCAAGTAAACTAAAAAGCGTAAACAATTCACAACTGTCAAGGATGAGTTCCTGATTTTTTTAAATTGAAGTTTTTTATGATTATGTGTAATTTGTAAGGTGTTTTAATGAGCTTGCAATGTACACATGCATGATGTGTGTGCTTGTTTGTCTGTTTTTTTTTATAATCACCATGAATTTCAACTTCCGAAACTATACAAAAACTTCTATACCTGACTATAGATCTTGACACTTATAAATATTGTCATCCCTTTTATTATCTTTGATATAATAGAGACAATAATATTAGTACAGTCAGCTGCATAAATATGTATACACTGTTAAAACCTTAAGAACTTGTATCGCTCACGAATTAGTCAAAATATAATATTAGTTGGAAGCGTAATGTCTGTATAAATAGAAGTATTTGAAGATTTTAAATAATTACTTATGTGGTTGACTATACAAGTGTGTAGCTGATGGTCTATAGTCAGAGTATATATCTATAGTTTTCATACAGATATCAGTGGAAATTCATAGCGTATTTGACATTAAAAAGTAAATTCTTACCGGGTAATGGTGTAGGCGTCACGGGTTTCGGTGTTTCAGTGTTGGCTTTGCCGAATGAGGAGATGCCAAAACTTTCGGTTGACTGTACGTAGAGCCAGCCGAGTAATACAATTGTCAGTACTTTAATCATTGTTTCACTTTTATTTGTTTCTTTGTAATAAAATAATAGTTAATTATTGATTTTTTTTTGTTTTGTATGTTTTTGTTTTGTTTATAAGTAGCGTTGTTATTCTGGTTAGCTCTGTCAGAAAATATATAAAGTGTGTTTAACAGCTAGAGTACTGCAAAGTTCTCTTTACATTCACGTGGACGCCATAAATAAATTAGCTAGTTGTAGCTGTCAATTTTTGCCGCTAATAATTAAGTGATTTTTTTTTAGGTTATAGTTTGTTTGCGTTTAATTGGTCTGTTTGATTTGATTTTAAATTGTTTTAATTTCTGAATGTGCGTGTTAAAGTCAGTTGTGGTTCGATTTGCTTATTGTAGTGTTTACTTTCTGTATTTCCATTCCCTTTGAGTGGCAATTTGACATTTGACATGTGAAGGCAAATGGCGTGGGTTATAGTTTTTTTTAATTGATGTGGTGTGCGGTATTTTTATTTGCTGCCAGTTCGGTTTGTTTTACATTTAAATTGTGTATCGTAGAATTATCGAATGATTTTTATGACGATTTATGTCACTGTAGTTATTTTAATTAGCTTCATAGAATTACATCAAGAAAGTACTCACAATTTTTTACAGAAATTCCAGAACATTCGTAACTTTTCTGTAAGATCATAAAATTGCAATGACATTTTAAAAATCATGCATAAATTTGTCACATTATTTACATATAAAATAATAACAATATAATTTGGAAATATTACGCATTATTTACAAGCCAATTAGTAAAAATTTAATTTTGAATAAGAATAGAGAAATGCCCCATTTACGGAAAAAAATCTTACCCAAAGGCCAAATTCTTGTTGGAGAATGAACCGTTGAATCTGGTCTTATAATACCAAGAATTGGTCTAAACGATGCATCACTAAAACCAACAATAAAGAAAACAATTGGCAGAATGATTATTAACATTTGCCTCATTTTGTATTTTTAAAAAGTTAACCTGTCAAACATTAGTTTATGAATATTTTCTTTTACAATCTTTCGTGTGTTTTGTTTTGATTAAGTTTTTTATATTGGTAAAGATTTCTTTCTATCAAATGGGACATTAATACCAAAAGAAATATTGTGCGATGAATTTAAAAGTGTGTTGTTTTAAAAATGTGTTACATTAACATTGTGATTTGATGTGAAAACAAATATAGTGCTAAAGTCCCATTATAGATTAAAAAAAATCTTTACCCGGTGGTGGTCTGGGTGTCGCGGGAGCTGGCGGTTTCGTATTCGATACACCAAATGTACTCAAACCAATGCATTCGTAAATCAAACACGTAAATGTCAAAATGGCCGTTATTTTACACCACATCCCGAACGACGACATATTTAAGGTACGTTTCCTCGAATTGAATTTGCAACGACTTTTACACTTTATAAAAATCTATAGAAGCGAAAAACATTTAAGACAAAAGACTTTGCAAGATATAAAATAGATCGATTGACCGGTTTATACAGGATGATCAATATAAAATTGTGTCTTTCTGTTTTTTTACTAAAGATAAATTCGTTGAATATGTTCTAGTGAGAATACTGAGGAAATTTCAAACAGTAGAACCTTAAAATATTAAAATTACATAATTTAGAACATTCTCGATCTTTATAACTTTCAAAGTCTGAATTTTAAAAGCTAAATAAAATTATGTGCGGATTTATAACGCCGTGCTTTTAAAAACACAATTTTATAAAAAAACATAAGAAAAAAAAAATCAATAATTTCTTTGATTTACAATTTTTTTTTATATTATTAGATGGCAAACGAGCGAGCCACCAGAGATCGCCGAATAAGCGACGGCTGCCCATAGACATCCGAATTCAGGTACGTACTTTAAACGACACAGGAGGGGACACTCAAAAAGAAAATTGCTCCTTATGTGTATCCACTTTTCCTTCCTATCCTTTCCTTATAAGAAAAAGGGTGGGAAGGGAAAGAGGACTAAATTAGTTCTCCGGGACGCACACTCATCAGACTGTAGTTGGAATTGCTTCGCACTTGAGGCGTGTCTTCTGTGTGGTCGTGGTATTTCACCAGGAAAGGCCTATCGTACTTATTTTTAATTGCGCGCGGACTGCGGCTAAGCTAATATTTATCTTGAAGTAATGTACGATTTTGCTTTGTTTTAATAACTTAATAACTCCGCTACGAAACGGTTAGTACCTAATTTTGAATGAAATTTGAATAAATAATAGACATCTTACCTTTTTAAATCTTCTAAATGTAGACATAAAAAAAAACTATCTATCTATAAGCTAGCAGTCACATCGGACAAAGAATTAGTATATTCAAAGGGGGAACGCTGCCAGTATATTCGGAACCTTGCCTAAACGCCTTTTAATATTATACTAGTTGTCGCCGGCGACTACGTCCTCGTGGATATATAAAAAACTTAATTAGTGTAGCCTAAGAGAACAAAGTGATCCTCTGAACCTGAACCTCTTATATTTTTATATCATAAGGTGGCAAACGAGCGAGCGGCCACCTGAAACCGCTGTAATAGCAGTGACCGTTGCCCATAGACATACGCAACTACATATGCGTAGTCTACCTTCAATCGACAGAGGTGATGCACAGAAAGGAAACATTTCCATGCATCCTCTCATCCGGAAAGTCCACTTCCACTTCTTATCTTTTCCTTATAAGAAAAAGGGTAGGAAAGGACTAAATTAGTCCTCCGGGACGAATTAAAAAAACTAACGATTGCTTTGGATCGTAATGAACCTACAACGTATTTGTTCTGTATAAGAACACAAACAGACAAACAGAATATTTAAATGTACATATAACTTTATGACCAATATTTGAATACTTAATTCATTAAATCTAGCTAATATTATAAATCCTTATGTTTAGATGGATGGATGTTTCAATTTCCAGAACGGAATTTTGTCCAAGATAGAACATTGTCTGGAAGAACACATATACTCATTAAGTTTCTTTTAATGCGGACGGAGTCGCGGGAACCAGTTAATAAGACACACACTAATTTATATATTAAACTTAACCACCAAAAGTACTGTAACGGTAAAATGCTTTTTTCCTATAATATTAAAATTAAACAACAGATATAATCTTATATTTCTATATTAAATATAAGTTTGTATAGAAAACCATAATCAAAGAAAAAAAAATAAGACACAGAAGAAAAATCTGTAAAAAAAAATTAAAAAAAAATCATAGTGGAAATGACCCTTAAATAAAAAGTGCCATAAACAAAGCTGGTGCCAAAGCGTATTAGTCGCGTTTAAAAAGTTTTTATATGTTCGTTTTATTGCATTGTATCAAATTTTTTTTTTATAATTTAAATTATTTTAATATTATTTTTTAAGTTAGTTAACACTGGTTATGAATAATTACAGTTAGGCTGGGCTGCGTGCTACACTTGCGAAGTTAACCGCGGGACTAAGGTGCTTGATGTTTCTTCAAGCAAGGTTACGTCTTAGAATACAGGGTGCTATTTTATTTTACAACTAACTAGTAACTGCCAGCGATTTCGTCCGCGCCAATAAAAAAAAGATTCTTGGCAGACAGACTGACGGACAACAAAGTGGGGTATAAGGGTTCCGGTTTTTTCCTATGAGGTACGAAACCTTAAAAATCTAGTAATCTTCACCTAGAGATAGTGACAATAAAACACAAACAAACAAATCGTTCCTTTCTTTAAGACCGCGCCGGGTTTATTGACTCCTTTGTAATAAACATAATAATTTTAACTGGATATTTTATGCATAATTTTGAACTAAGTAAGCAATAGTATAACGAACTTGTTATGTTAGGTTAGTTAGAAATTATGGACAAGTAAAATTAGACATAGAAAATGACATACAAGACAGTAAGACAAGGAACTGGAGCCTTTTTTACAGGGTGCTTACAAGCTATCGTTTTTTTTTTATATCATAAAGTGGCAAACGAACGAGCGGCCACCAGAAATCGCTGAAATAGCGAAGTGACCGTTGCCCATAGACATATGCAATTGCATATGCGTTGCCTACCCTTAGTCGACGGAGGAGAGGATGCACACAAAGAAAATATTTTCCCTTTCCATGCATCCTCTCATCCGGAAAGTCCACTTGCACTTCCCATCCTTTCCTTATAAGAAAAAGGGTGGGAATTGAAAGAGGACTAAATTAGGCCTCCGGGACGTACACTCATCAGACGAAACGCGGAATTGCTTCCACTTCACGCCTGTCTTCTGTGTGGTCGTGGTATTTCACCGGGCGAGCCGGGCCAATTCGTGCGAACATGTTAAAGCGGGCTCTATCACTGTTAAAATCGTAATTTAACTTTAATTTCTTTCAGCGATTAGATGAATTATATAACATCAAGAAATTGTCATCAATTGTATGATATTATAAAATAATTTCTTATGAATAAAACATCATGCTGTGTATAAAATTGGGGGAACACCACCAACCCACGCTGACGCAGCAAGTAACGCTGACCCACGGCAAAGAAAGTTGCTATTTCATTTGACTTTATATAATTATATTTATATAAATAACATATATGTATATTTTAAGTAAGATTACTAATATTATTAATGTGAATGTTTAGATGTATGTTAGAAGATGACTCCTGAACAACTCAACAGATCTTGATGAAATTTGTCATACATATTGAACATAGTCTGGAAGAACAGAGGCTACTAAATAATATTTTTTAATTCCACGCGTACTAAGTCGTAGGTCGTAGCTAGTAATAGAAATGAGAATGTAATGATGGATTTTCATTAGAAGGTGTAACCAAAACAGCTCTTTGGAGCTATATAAAATTTGTCATACATATAGAACATAGTCTGGAAGAACACATAGACTATGATATAGAAATATGTACAGTTCTTTTGGGATAAGTTTGATTAACAATATTTACAGAATAACTCCGCAATAATTCAACTTATCGAAAGGGACAGATATTTATTACTTTATTTCGTTATTAAATTTAAATACGACGTCAGTAAAAAACATCCTGTTTATAGATAAAAAAGACAACTAAAGATTTTTACTTCTAAATAATAGTTGATTAATTTTTTATTGCTCGCAGGTCAATTTATATTGGTCGTATACTATGCGTGTTAGGCTAAGTTGTACATAACTAGGGATGTCAACTTTAAATAAAAAAACAAAGACGTCAAATAACATATATAAATAAAATTAAATCATATTGTAAAATAAGTGTAGCTTAAGTTATGTAATTCATCATTATCAGCTCTATACGTCCCCACCGAGGGGCTCGGAGTCTACCCTAAGTTAAGGGTGATTAGGCCATAGTCAACCACGCTGGACAAGTGCGGGTTGACTTCACACATATTTCTCAGATATGTGCAACATCACGATGTTTTCCTTCACCGTAAGAACGTCTGATAAAACTTACATATGTAAATCGGAAATCGAAAAACACATTGGTACATGGCACGATTCGAACCCAGTACCTGCAGATTGCAAGTCAAGTGCTTGACACATAAGCCATCGACGAACTTGTATAGAAATATTTAAAGAGCTTCAATGGCTGAGGGGTTAAAACACTTGACTTGTAAGTAATTCCCGGTTCCGGATCCCGCTATGTAGCAATGTTACATTTACATATGTACATTTATCCTATGTTGTTACGGTGAAGGAAAACATCGTGATGCTGCACATATCTGACAAACTCAAACATATATGTCAAGTCTTGCACTGGACCAGCGTTCACTATCACATACTCTCACTTAGGGTAGCCACCGAATCCCTCAGTAGGGACGTTAATCAAGCTGATGATGATAAAAATATTTTATAATTATTGAGTTTTTAGTGTAATACAGTTTGTCTATGGTTTGGATTGGAAAATATTAAAAATACTTCGAGTTAAATGAGTGACAGCCCTATTTATAATCGTTAATGTTAGTTCATTTAAGCCCCGACATGGTATGCTTTGATTTTTATTCAATTGACTTTTAAAATCATTTGATGTAAAGAATGTTACTAGATATACAACCTATTCAATGTCGCCCTCGACTCTAACTGCGCTGAATTAAAAAAAAAGTAATAGTCTACGTGTTCTTCCAGACTATGTTCTACATCTATGTCAAATTTCATCGATATCCATGCAGTCGTTCTGGAGATATCTTCTTACAAACATACATCTAAACCTTCGCATTTATAATCAGAGAACAAAAAGGTCTTTTGGGTTTTTTGTTAAGGTATATTTCTTAAGTGTTTTCGTTTATAATACAAATTTAATAAAATTGACATTTCAAAAATGCTTAACGTAGCTAATAGCTTTAGTGGAAGAAGACTTTAATTCCTACAAGCATCACGGCATGTTTATTCGATAAACAAAATGGCGTCCATCACTCGTGTCAACTGTCCAAGTTAAATTGCGAGCCATTATCGTAATTGGATAACGATTTACTAAGAAATTACTCGTTGTTATTTTATAGTCAACGTATATTTTTAACGAGATTTTTAAAGTTCTAAAGTCGTATTGAAATATTGAAGTATTTATACATGTATGGATTTCGTTTTAATAATATTTTGCCGAAAAATTACTAAAAAACGTCCGCAAACAAATATTTCGTCCTGTCATAAAAATGTTCAAAAAACCGTACCACAGATTAAATAGTTAAAAGCCGTTTATTACTTGTAATTATTTTTTTTTAATTTTGCGTCCAGCAACGCCCGACATAATACACCGAAAATTCCAAAATTTAAATTAACATAAAGGGCAGGCACGCACGGCTTGCACGGAACGAGAAACGATTAAAAAGAAAAAAATCGAACATAAAACTTTTCAAACGAAATTAAACTCTATTCCAAAGGAAATACAGTATAGAAATACAACGAAACTTCTTCAATTAAAATATAAATCAATACAATTTCAAAACGTAATAAATACACAAAGACTACAAACAAAAGTCAACCTTATTCTTCTAAGTTAAAGTTGAAATTTGTATAAAACAAAGTACTGACGTAACTAAAAATAATAATATGATATTCAATCAAGGGAATATAAGTGTTATGTCAAGTGAATAAGGTTGTAAATCGTTGAATGGAGAATTGCAAGTTTTTTTTTTTAATTCAAAGTTCATGCAAGGAATTGTGTCGTGTTATGCCAAAGGTCAAACGTACAAAATACCCCAACAGAACAAAATAATGTTATGTTGTTCAGTAATTAAAAATATTAGAAGAACAAAGGAAATAAAAATACATTTTTATATAATAAGGTGGCAAACGAGCGAACGGTCACCTTAAATCGCTGAAATAGCGAAGTGACCGTTGCCCATAGACATACGCAATTGCATATGCGTTGCCTACCTTTAATTGACGGAGGAGAGGATGCACAGAAAGAAAATATTTTCCCTCACCATGCATCCTCTCATCCGGGAAGGGAATTATATATATAATTATAAATACGATGGATGGATGTTTGAAAGTATCTCTAGATCAGTGGTTCCCATACTTATTTTGTCTACTGCCCACTTTGAGAATAAATATTTTTTTAGCGCCCCCATATTTTCACATATTTAAAAGCCACTATAACTTCAAATTAAATTAATTAATTATTGTGACCTATATATGTATATTAACGGAGAATTCTAAACGAAACTTTTACTATAACCCGCAACTTGAGACCTGCAGCCCACAAGGAGGCGTTATCGCCCACTTTCGGAAAGACTGCTCTAGAGGCTGAATGGATGTTAAAAAATAAAATATAATTAATGTATATACAAAACTTTATTATTTACAATTCATTTTACAGTTTAACAGTCGTATTGTAATTTTGTAAAACCATAAACAAGATGTATATACAATTTAATATTTATTGGTAATGTTCAACAAATTACAGGTCAAAGAGCGATTTACGAAAAAAAAAATTTTTTTTTCGTTCACAAAAAATTCTTCGTATATACAGAGTTATTTCGACAAGCACTGATTTCTTTTTGTGAATGTTTTTTTTTTAATAATAATTTAAATAAAAATTTCTTAATTTTAATTATAAATAGCGTAGATCAATGAAATGGCAATTGTCGCGAAACTGACAGCAAACCTTGTGCCCGATGATGCTGAAAAAAAAAACATATTTCAATGGATCCGATGTAAACTATCGTAAGGTTGGAATACAAATTTTTGAACGAACAATATTTCGTAAAGTTTCTTTCTACTTAAGACAGGCTTCTAGTGGAAACAATTCCGCGTTTCGTCTGATAAGTGTGCGTGTTGCCTTTTAGTCCCCTACCCTTCCCACCCTTTTCTTATAAGAAACTACATGTCGCCCGCGACTCTGTCCGCGTGGATACATAAAAAACCTTAATATATTGATAAGTTAAATAAAAAGCAGCTGTTCAAGGAATAAATTCGAAAAAATGAATAGATAGTATCCTATGTCCATCTCCTGGCTCTAAGCTACCTCCTCAACAATTTTCAGGCATATCGGTAAAGCCGTTCTTGAGTTATAAATAGTGTAACTAACAATACTTTCTTATATATATATATATATATATATATATATATACAAGATGATAGGGATGATAAATTAGCTTAATTTGTCAGAATACAAAGGGGTTATGTCCTTTTTCTGTGCGTCCTCATATGTCGATTAAAGGTAGGCATCGCATCTGTAATTTCGTTGTCTATGGGCAGTGGTCTCTTGACTTTTGGCGAATTCAGGCCGCTTTTTCTGTGCCACCTTATAATCTATATTAATATTATAAAGCGGAAGAGTTTGTTTAAACGCGCTAATCTCAGGAACTTCTGGTCCGATTTGAAAAATTCTTCTTTTGTTGGATAGTCCATTTATAGAGGAAGGCTTTAGGCTATATAACATTACGCTGCGATCTACAGTTTTTTTATTCAGACAAATAGTTTATATCTATTTATCAGTTGGTTATTAAAATATAATACTTACTACATGTGTTTAATTGTTCTGAATATGGAAATTCGAAACTACATTGACATAGCCCATTCCTGCATACCACTCTGTCCGTTATTTCCGCTAAATAACATTCACTGCTTCGGCTACACGATTCGAAAAGTCCTGGAATAAATAAATGGATAGGTGATTGCTTGGAAATGACAGCTTCTTTTAAAAGTGCCTGTTGATGTTACGTGACAGTTAATTCTATCTGTATTAATAGTAACAATCAGCGCCAAAATGTCGGAAATCAAATACGCACAAAAAACTACGTCTCATAGCCAATCCTTTTATATAGGTCAGTGTGCAATCATTCGAATATTCGATTCGAAATTCAAAATGTGTTCGGATTTTTAGAAATTCGAAATTCGAATTTAATTATTCGAAATAGGCAAATATTAAAAAATTGTCAATTATGTAAAAAACACATGTAGATTGGTCATACTTAGGCATAATTTACCCGTCCGTGGAATTACCTGTCATCGGCCAACATCTGCCATCTTTGTAATGGAATGTAGTCATACATTCACATTGATTATCCATACATGCACTAAATTCACCCAAATTTGATGTACATTGTGCCGTTACATTACAAGCACTGCCTTGTGTAAGAGATTCTGTGGATACACGTAGAATTAAATGATCGTTAATTTAAAAAGACACTAAAAGGATAGAAAATAGCGCCATCTATTGAATGGATATTGAAACAAAAATTGACTTATTTTTTAACTATTTCTTATTATAAAATTATTTAGTGATGTTAAAAATTTCCTGATCAACTCTACGACACTTAGGACAAGAATACGAATCCAATGACACCTCACTCGTCAATGTTCACTCGTTTACTATAATCTTACTAATATTATAAATGCGAATGTTTAGATGTATGTTTGTTAGAATGTATCTCCAGAACTCCAGAACAGCTGCATGGATCTCGATGATATTTGTCATACATATAGAACATAGTCTGGAAGAACACGTAAGCTACTAATTAATTTCTCGCGTGTGACCCTTACACGCACCAAAAACATTCCCCCTTTCGGTACAACAGTAATTTATAAGCAACATACATTACTCGTCTTTATTCAATAAATATAATTACGTCATACCTGGCCAGCATTGGTCATCGTATTGAACGAAGCCGTCACGACATTGACAAGTTTGACTACCGTTGTTATTTTGACAGGTCGTGTCAGGTATCACGCAGTCAACATCCAATAAACACGTACCACCAATCACTAGAAGACGAACCATGAATTAGTACCACGACCACACAGAAGACAGGCGTGAAGTGGAAGCAATTCCAACTACAGTCTGATGAGTGTGCGTCCCAGAGGCCTAATTTAGTCCTCTTTCCCTTCCCACTTTTATAAGGAAAGGATGGGAAGTGGAAGTGGACTTTCCGGATGAGAGGATGCATGGGAAGGGAAAATATTATCTTTATGTGCATCCTCTCCGTCGATTAAAGGTAGGCAACGCATATGCAATTGCGTATGTCAACGGTATTATGCTCCGCCATCTTGAAAATTACATCGACTTTTACTCACGACGATCTTGAGAAGCAAGACGATCTTTGGCGATAACAGAAATATCGGCGATGCGTGTTGTCTACGAACCTCTATGATATTGTATTACGTTAGCTAAGCGACTAAAATCGCTGGATTTTGAATTAGGTTGGCCTTAGGTACTATCATACTAAGAATCATTTCGTGTAGCAATCACTACTGCATAACTGATAATTAGATGATTCTGAGTGTCAATTCTGTTAGACTTACCAGGTGCACATAAGTTCCCATCTTGTTGGTAACCATCTCCGCATACACAAAGGCCTGACTCGCAGACCGCGTGCTCTGCGCCCGTGCACTCGGCTGTCACTTGACAGGAATCTCCTAGTTCTAGAATTTCATACATCAGTTAATAGTCAAGTTTGTGGGATTTTGAAGCTTAACTTCAAAACAATAAAGTAAAATATTCGAATTCAAATATTTTTTATTTTGTATTCCAAATTTAATCACAAAGTTGTGGCATTTATGATCGGATATGTCAATAGATGGCGTTGACACTAAAGTTTTCTATATTTGATAGTGAAAATCGCTAGATGGCGCTTACACTAATTCAGCCTACATCCTTATGACTAGTGAATCGTACTCAAATACTTACCCAGTCCTGTAGTAAGACAAAGACCATCCACTTCTTGTAATCCATCAGGACAAGTGCAGTAACCCTGGCCAATTTCATTCTGAACACACTGGATCTCTAACTCTCCAGCTAGACAATCGCTGTCCACTTCACATGTTTCACCAAGACCTGAGGGTAGATAGAGATGGTAGGATATAAGTAAGGGTCGTCATTAGATAATAGATGAAGTCAGGCTCTAGACTGACTTCATCTTTAGTTAAACGTGAGTGAGTGTTCGTTGACGTGAGTATGCGTTTCGAAGGCTCAACTTAAATCTTCTTTCCTTTCCCATCCTTATAAAGAAGTGCATGAGATTGAAAAAGGAACGCATAGTAAAGAAAAATAGTCTCTTTCTGTACATCTCCGTAGACTAAAGGTAGGCAAGACAATCTGCAATTGCTCTTGTCTACGGGCAGCGGTTGCTTCGCCGCTTGCTCGTTTCTCAGCTTACAATATAAAAGCAACAAAAAAGAATGGCCTATGATCCAATCCGGTAACTATAACGAAGTAACAGCCCGAGCCGAGGCTCCTGAGGGAGCCCTCGAGTCTTGTTACTCTCAAACGAGGTTCAGGCTAAGCGCCATCTGCGCTCGGCAACCTCAAGCCCGGTAAAGCTGTAAATGCCTCTTCAAGGCAAACAGTGACTACTCAATCACAAAAGAAATGGCCTATGACCTTTATAATAATAATAGGCCTTTATTCAGACACATTACATTTTTTTTTTATATCATAAGGTGGCAAACGAGTGAGCGGCCACCAGAAATCACTGATATAGCGAAGTGACCGTTGCCCATAGACATACGCAATAGCATATGCGTTGCCTACCTTTAATCAACGGAGGAGAGGATGCACAGAAAGAAAATATATTCCCTTTCCACGCATCCTCTCATCCGGAAAGTCCACTTCCACTTCCCATCCTTTCCTTATAAGAAAAAAGGTGGGAAGGGAAAGAGGACTAAATTGGGCCTCCGGGACGCACACTCATCAGACGAAACGCGGAATTGCTTCCACTTGACGCCTGACTTCTGGTGTGTCATTACATTATATTATTTAAAGTTTATGTTAAGTTAGTATTTAAGTTTATATCTGCTTGTCCCATGTGGACAAAGGCCTCTTCCAAATTCTTCCATTCTTCTCTTACTTTTGCCTTCCTAGGCCAGGTCTGTCCCGCCACTTCCCTTATCTAGTCTTTCCATATTTTAAGTTTGCTCCATTTGTCTGTTCCACGTAAATACCTATGACTTTTACTTACCAGCAAATAGTCTGCACATTTCTCTCCTTGCGTCCCACACTGCGTATTCCGGGATACATTCACATGTCCTCAAACCCCAAGGATCTTGTGGTTGTCCACAGCGAGACGCCGCACCGAATGTATGACAATTGTTGTCCGAAACACAGGACTCGTTGAAACGACGGGTTACTAGAATAAATTAGATATATTAAGTAATTATATAGCATTTAGAAAACCTATACATCTTCACATTATAAACTAACAGTCGCACGTGACTTCGTCAGGATTAAGCCTATAATATGCCCGTATACCTTAGCTACCTTCCAGTTAAAGCCCCGTCAAAATCGGTCCACCCGTTCTGGAGATTACCCGGCACAAACGCTGCCTTGCGGTCAGCCAGACAAAAACTTTCGTATAGACTTTAGTACTTCAGTTTGATGAATTGAAATCTATAATTAATTATAACATAGTTAAATTAGATGTTTTTATCCAAACTTACCTCGTATACAATCTCTCATGTTCCTATCAAAGAAAAAGTTAGGTGGGCAGGTACAGATTCCGTCTACAACCACCGCAAGCAGACCTGCGCATTGCTCTTCAGTAGACGGTGAAGCGAGCTCTAAATAAACAAAACATTAAACTATATATTATAAAATATTTAGAGACAGACAATTACAGCAAAACGGTCATAAAAGTAAGTCAGTCGCATTAAAATTGTGGTTGCAAATACTTTGAAAAGATTCACAGAACTAATTAAAAGTAAAATGTATTCAATAAAAAAGTTATCGTCATCTTTGTTATTCTCTTTGTAACTGGAGCGTTGGTGGCTCAGTGGTCAAGCACTTGACTTGCAATCTGCAGGTCCTGGGTTCGAATCCCGCCATGTACCAATGTGTTTTTCGATTTTCGATTTACATATGTACATTGATCCGACGTTCTAACGGTGAAGGAAAACATCGTGATGCAACCTGCACATATCTGAGAAGATATTCAAAAGATATGTGTGAAGTCAACTAACCCGCACTTGGCCAGCGTAGTTGACTATGGCCTAATCACCCTAAAAAACTTAGGGTAGGCTCCGAGACCCTCGGTGGGGACGTATAGTGAGCTGATGATGTCATGAATTGGAGATACAACAATATAGAAATGCAACGGCTACACGTACGATCGGAATCGGTTCAAGAATTCAGACGTTAGATAAAGTGCACTCGCTTCAAGGCGATTTCATAACTTAGTCGAGATTTATTAATTTCCTTTGGCGCGAATGACGCGCTTACATTGCAAAGTCAAGTGACAGAATTAGTGAGGGGACATAAACGATATTTTAGTAAGGCTAGTGTTGTCAGTACACCGACAAACTGTCGGATTTTCTTCCTAACATAACGAACTTCAAAAATGTTTAAAACTGACAATAACTTTACAAGACACCTGATTGTCGTATGTCAGTTTTTTTTAATATTAGCAGATTTTGTTTGTAAATTTCCTAATATTTCTTTTAGAATTCCAACTAAGCTCTACGATATGGTTTACGACAATAGTCGAATGGCGGGATTCGAACCCTCGACCTTGTGATCGGAAATCCGTACTATTAACCATTAGCTATTGAATTGAACTGTTCAACTGTGGTTCAACAACTTTTAGTCATCAAACCGCAACTTAACGGATCAAATTAGTGATCCTTTGATCCGTTTGAGAGCTGAAAGTTACTTACCAGCTAAGCAAGTCGAATTCCCTTCAATATAATAACCTAATGGACATATACAGATTCCGAATGGCGAACACTCATATGGCTGTGAACATCTGTTGTCAGCATCACATGTAATCAATCCGCCATCTTGTTCCGGTACGTCCGTTATATTGTTAAAACTGTCAATTTGTAATTCAAATACTTCTGTGTTGGTAACATCTGTAAGAAGTAAATATATATATTTAGAAAATAGAAAAAAATAATCTTAGCCTATGTGTTCTTCCAGACTAAAACTGACAGAAACCAAAAAAAGCAATCGTTTGACGTTTTTAAACGATTTCACGATTGGCATACTTTCTTTTTGTTGAGAATTTCACGATGTTGTTAATTTTATCATTTACTATTTGTGGTCTGCGACTCCGTCCGCGTGGATATATAATAAACTTAATTACTGTAGGCCACTCATCCATCCATCGACATCATATCCATCTAAACATTCGCATTTATAATATTAGTAAGTTGAATAAGAAGCAGCTCTTCAAGGCATAAATTCGAATAAAAAAAATGAATAAATAGTATCCTATGTCCGTCTCCTGGCTCTAAGCTACCTCCTCAACAATTTTCAGGCATATCGGTAAAGTCGTTCTTGAGTTATAAATAGTGTAACTAACACCACTTTCTTTTATATATATAGATTTCAGCAAGATCCATACAGCCGTTCTGGTGATACCTTCTAACATACATCTAAACATTCGCATTTATAATATTAGTAAGAAAATTTGAATGTAAATGAATATTCATAATCAATATACGAAGTTCTCCGGCGGACAATCTCTTACTTATAGAGGTTTCTCACTTATCCAGATTCAACTGTAGTTAATATTAACTTTTTGTTGCCAGTAATTATAACTATAGGTTTTAGGTTATTCTTTTAAGATAATTAAATGACCATTTTCATACTCACCATTGATATTATAACATCTAAAAGTCGTCACGTCGCAAGCTCCGTTAGTAAACTGACAATCTTCATTAACAACACAACCGTCTCCAACAGCTGTAAACAAAAAACAAGCCATTTTAATACGGGATGCATTACGAGACAAACGTTGGCGCGTTTTATTTTTATAATTAACGCCATCTATCGTCGAGCGGAAATAAAATTATCAGCCAAAAAGTTACAGTTACAAGACATTTTTAATAAGATAAATAAAATTATTATAATTTGTATTGAAGAGCGTCGGTTGCTCAGAGGTTAACTTGACTTGCAATCTTCAGGTCCTGGGTTCGAATCCCGCCATGTACCAATTTGTTTTTTTGATTTTCGATTAACATATGTACATTTATCCGACGTTCTTACGGTGGAGGAAAACATCGTGATGCTGCACATATCTGAGAAAGTAAAAGATATGTGTGAAGTCAACCCGCACTTGCGTGGTTGACTATGGCATAATCACTCTTAACTTAGGGTAGGCTCCGAGCTCCTCAGTGGGGACGTATAGCTGATGATGATGACTAATATTATAAAGGTAGAGGAAGACCAAAGAAAGTATGGTTTGTGTGAAAGAGGATATGCGTAAGGGTATGGATTCAGATATGACGACTGATAGATGTAATGAGGAGTAGATACTGTGCCTGCCTTCCGTAGGGATAAGGGCATTTGATGATGACTAATATTATAAAAACAATAGTTTGAATTTATGAATCTTTGTAACTATGTATCTCTAGAACCACTAAACGGATCAGGATGAAATGTGAAGCCGAATTAGACTTACTTAGTTTTTTTTAATTAAACGGATTCAAATCACGTGTACTTCACTCCTAGTCTAGTTTAGTATCTTATATCTTTAAATGAGCAATTCTTGTATATATATAATTGGAATCTCGGAATCGGCTCCAAAGATTGTCATAAAATTTAGTATATAGGGGGTTTCGGGGTCGATAAATCGATCTAGCTAGGAATCATTTTTAGAAAATGTCATTTTATTCGTGTTTTATCGATAATCAACTTAAACATAAACTTAACTTTTTCTATCGGTAAGATGGAAAAATATTATTCATATTTCATCATTTTATTAGTAATTCGTACTTATATATAATTTCCAAAAAACACAATTAAAAAAAAAATACCGAGCAAAGCTCCGTCATCCAGGTACTGTTACTGATAAACGAAAAAACATTTCATCTGTCTGTCCTTGTGTTTGTACCGTGTAATCACCGGAACTTGTGGACAGATTTTGACGGGACATAAACTGGAAGGTTGCTGATGTATACAGCCATGTCAACGAATACTGTTTTAAACTTACCAAGACCTCGTTTCCTACATTCACCTCGTTGTCTCAAGTAATAACCGTCCGCGCAAACGCATGTCGTGTTACAAATCATACTGTAAGGATCTCGAATGACACCAAAACACTCTTCATTCCTTGAACATGTCTCTCCGAAGTCGGACGTCTTCCAACATCTGCCATATAAATAATGGTGACCTTCTCTACAATCACAAACACCTTCTAGAAACAGAAAGAAGAAAAAATTAATGAGAAAATGTATATTTACGACTTTTATAATCTTACTAATATTTTAAACTAACGGGCCCCCGCAACTCCGTCCGCGTGGATATATAAAAAACTTAATTAGTGTAGCCCACCCATCCATCCATCCACATCACATCCATCTAAAGCTCAAGGCATAAATTCGAATTAAAAATGAATAAATAGTATCCTATGTCCATCTCCTGGCTCTAAGCTACCACCTCACCAATTTTCAGGCATATCGGTAAAGACGTTCTTGAGTTATAAATAGTGTAGCTAACACTACTTTCTTTTATATATATAGATTCGAATTTAGGATGGATGGATGTTTGATGTTGTGTCCAGAATAGCTGCATAGATCTTGATTAAATTTTGCATAGATGTTGAACATAGTTTGGAATAAGACATAGGCTTGTTTTTTCCGCAGATGGAATCGCGGGCGACAGCTAGTTAATTTTATTACCTGTTGCGTTTTCGTTACGTCTACATTCGTAGTTGTTGAATAATCTGAAACACTGATGATCCTCAACGCAGGTTGAGAAGAAATATGGCGCCACTGTTGAAAAAAAAAACAATATTCTTTGAAACAATTAAATTCGATAGCTCCTGTACTATTTACTTTTGGTCTAAACAGTACACTGACTTCTATAAATAGACTGGTTATACGACATAGTGTTTTGTGCGTATTTGATTATCGCCATTTTGGCGCTGATGGTAGTGTAGCATTAGTGCGATTTTAAATCACAAATCATACTAATATTATAAATACGAATGTTTAGATGGATGTTTGTTTGAAGGTATCACCGAAACGGCAGAACGGACCTCGAAGAAAGGAGGCGTCTATAAATTACGTGAAGTGTTTAAGGTGGGGAGGGGGTCGTGTCAAATCTCATCTAATCTTACGTTGGAGAGAGGGCCTCGGCAATATCACGCAATTTTTTTTTCTGATTGACACAAAAAATAGCATGAACAATTTTTTTTCTTTTTACCATAACAATCCAACGCAACGTAAGAAAGTAACATTTAGAAAAATCTCACGTGAGATTGGGGGATGGAAAAGGGGTTAATAAAATCTCACGACATCTCACCAGGGACGGAGGGAGGGGTAGAAAATTGAGAAAACACCTCACGTAATTTATGGACGCCCCCAAGTCGGGCGTACATAGCCTTGAAGAACTAATATTTATGTTTTTCTAAATCCGCGCAGACGGATTCGCGGGCAACAGCTAATCACAATATAGATAGAACTAACGGCGCGTTTAAACGAAGCAAAGACTGTTTCCAAGCAATCCTATCCATTAATAAAGATCAGTTTTTTAGTTTTCAATACTTACATTCAGCACAAACAGTTCCGCCAAGTACTGATTGTTGTCCTGCAGGACACAAGCAAGATCCGTCCCTGCAGACGCTGCCAACAAGACTGGAACATTCAGAATCTTCTCTGCACGACCAGATAGCTGACATACCGGACTGGAATAGCAATCCTGAAATGGTAAGATAAAAAATTTATGGTAGACGTCTGCAACTCGTGTTGCACTGTGTCTGATATGGATAGATGTTTGTTAGAAGGTATCTCCAGAACAGCTGCATGGATCTCGCTGAAATTCACCATACATATAGAACGTAGTCTGGAAGACCATATAGGGTACTGAATAAGTTTTTTTGTTAATTCCACGCAGACGAAGTGGAGAGCGATAGCTAGTATTATGAATGCGAAAGTTTAAATGGATGGATAAATAGATCTCGCTCATATTTAACATAGATGTAGAACATAGTCTGGAAGACCACATAGAATAAGTTTTTTTTTAATTCCGCGCGTACATTCGTGGGCGACAGCTACTATTAAAAATGCGAAATGTTTGTTAGGAGGTATCTCCATAACGGTTGTATGGATCTCGATGAAATTTGCCATAGATGTAGAACATAGTCTGAAAGAACACATAGACTATCTAGTTATTTTTAAAATCTTCGCAGTATTAAATGACGACTCACCTAACACTGATAAAATAATCCAAAACTCCATTTTTCTTGTATTATTAAAAGCTATGCAACTATTTCTAATATAAAATAAACGTGTAACTTTTACCACATCTCTATACAATGTAGAATAAATTTACAGACAGACGTAATCAATTGAAGATTATAAAATATCAACATTTAGGTATAATAGAGCTTTAAATGTATAGAGTCGGCATTTAAAAATTAAAAAAAAATATAGAAAGAAAGAAAAGTTTTTATTATAGGTAATACAGATTAAACCAAGAAACAATAACTAACATAATAAAATTGCACATAACTAAGAAATTAAATTAGACTTAAGTTACCATTTATGGTAAATTTGGATAATCTAGTGATGCCCACACTTTTTTT